AGAGAATATAATTGTGTTTCACGGAGTTATAATTGAGCCGAATAAAGTTTTTCTGGTAACCGAATGGGCTACCGAATTAAGTTTGAAAGATTTCTATCAACGTAGGAGATTGGATTGGAGTCTACAAATACAATTCGCTTTAGATATCTCTAAAGGATTGACTTATTTAAAAAGCGCCGAGATTCTACATCACGATATTCGCAGTCAAAATATTTTTATTACAAATGGCAATCCGCGATATACAGCAAAAATCGGCAATTTCGGTTTAAGTCGTGGTTTAAGAGAAGCTACCAGAGATATTCGAGCAGATGTCGATAATGTTCGATACATGGCGCCAGAGAAACTTGAGGAGAATACACATACATATCGATATGATTTTAAGTGTGAGATATATAGGTAAAAAGATTCCACAAATATTTATCAATAATACTCTTATAAACCTTTTCTTATTAATTTTATTTTATAGTTTTGGAGTGCTTCTCTGGGAAATAGCTGAACAAAGGGTTCCATTTCAATATCTTAATGATGATATTCTAAAAATTCGTCAGAGGGTTCTTGACGATAATCGAGAGCAATTTTCTTTACCATTGCAAGTTCCAATTAAATGGGTAGAGCTTGTTAAGAAAGGTAATTTTAATGTTATATTACTAATATATTTAATTAATAATGAATCTAACATTATTTCTTTAATTACTGATTAGCTACAAGCTTTGAGAAGACGGATCGCCCAAAACTTTCGACGATATTTACAGAACTATTTGATCTTTTTAAAATACATCTTCCGGCTACTCATCACCCTAATAATTATCCAGATATTCTTTTTCCGTCAAATCCAAAACCCTTCCATACTGTTCAAGATGCCATTGATCTTCATAAACTCAAAGGCGGTGATCGTCAATTGGCAAATCAAATATTTTGCGACTATGCGGCGTTGGGCGATTCCACGGCGAAATATTGGGTCGGATATTACTTGTATTATAATTGCTTAAATAACAAAGAAACTTTCGAGCAACGCCAAGACGCAATAGTACGAGCTGCACAATATTTTAAAGAAGCAGCTGATAAGGATGTGCCTGAGGCTCAACTTCGATATGGCCATTGTCTATGGAAAGGCGAAGGTATCGAAAAAAATGGATCATTGGCCGTGGAATATTTTTTGAAATCTGCACATAATGGAAACTCAACTGCTATGTATAACGTTGGGAACATGTATTTCAGTGGAAATGGAGTAATTCAAGATAAAGAAAAAGGAACATACTATCTCAAGAGTGCAGCATTAATGGGTCAACCGAAAGCTATCGAAATATGCAAAAAAAATAATCTTCGACTTTAAGTTATTACACAAATTCTATCTCATTCTGATTTATTATAAAGCTTTCGGATAGTAGAGGGGCAGCTGAAAGTTTTGATCGCTCCCTATATTTGAATGCATACTTTTTAAAATAAAAATTAAATGTTTTTTGACTAGATAGTTTCTGAGAAACTTAAATTGAAGTAATAGAATAATTTAAATGGTGCACCCATGCTTTGCGTGCCCTTGGTTAATGTTAACGTTAAAGATGATTTAAGATCAGGTTAGGTTTAGAGTCAAGCTCATATGTTAAACTGTCTCCCGACATTTTTATTTAGTGTACCAAGTTATACATCCACTTTCGATATTTTTTATTTTCTTGCATTGGGTTTGTTTTTCCGGAAATTTGCCCATTTTTATTGGTCTATGCCATATTAATTGTTAAGTCATGTTACTTATATTTAGCTAGTCAATGCACATGTTCGAGATTTACTAGTAAATAATATATTGTTGATTAATTCAAATATTATAAAATCTGAGTTGAAATCCATACAAAAATGTCCATATCAATAATTTACATAAATTTCATCCAATCACTTAAATGAGTAAATTCAGGCTTAAAATTTAATATAACAAACCAGCAAATATTTCAAAAAATAATTTAAATATGCATAAGACAGAACGGTACTATATAATGATAATGGAATTATAGTACAAACACAAGTTAAGCATATTAAAATGCTTCTAAGATTTGACAAATTATTTTAAAAGCTTACCTTAGATTTTTTATGCACTTTCAATTATATAACACAAAATCCAATAAAGAAGCAAAATTACTGGTTTTACGTTTGAAAAATTAAATTATAACATATTTTGTTACCTTTATTAATAATATCGGAAAAGAAGAGAGACTCTTGTAGTTGAAACGATTATAAGAAAATAAGTAGCGAAATTGCTAGTAAATTATTTGACTAATTTAACTGATATTTCAATAAGAAAGCAAGCTGGATTTTAGAATTATTAGCAGAAATAATATTTATTGCAAATTTATGTAGTCTACGTTTTAGTAAACAATGTTGGCACCGACATAGCAAAGAATTTCCGATCGGTAGATTTCGATCGGGAAGACTTCATCTCGAATAAAGTTAAATTGATAAATTCTAATATCGTATTTCTCCGCAAATAGTTCTCCAGATTTTGCTCGTTAAGGGGCAAAATATAACAAATTAAAATGACTAATCCAAATAATCAAAAACATAATAAGTGAACCCCCAGGTCTCTTACGATTAGGAACTTAAAAAATTGATTAGTACGTTCATAGCTTCTGTAATTAAGACTTTTAGCAATTCAGCGAGAAAGAAAATTTTATATTTCATTTTTGTAAATAAATTGTTTCTGCAATTAATTGAAAAGCAAGGGATGTATTTATGAGGAGGAGGTTTCACTTTTACAAATTTGATTCAATAGCTGTTTATCTCACATTTTATGGGGTTTGTCATTTGCTAATTCTTTAAATTGTGCATAATTGAAATTTTCATTTCTCACTTTTAAGGATTAATTTGAATTCATTAATATACCAACTACGTACGTATGACACAGATTTGTAGAAATCTGATCTCTATCGATATCAGCATAGCGAGCTTTCTCTGTGATTGGCTATTTTTTTGCAGATCATTTTGTATCAATTTTGTTCAATCAGAGACAGCGTAGATTATT